TTGCCCATCCGCAGCCTGCGGGAGATCACCCTGCTCCTGCAGCTGCGGCACCCCAACATCGTGGAGCTGAAGGAGGTGGTTGTAGGGAACCATCTGGAGAGGTGAGGGTCCCCCCTCGTCCTTCCCCATGCCCTCTCTGCCTTTCAGCCCCTTCTCGGTCCCCTGAGCCGCCTCTCGCAGCACAGACCTGCGCTGTGAGCGCCAGGACACCAGAGAGGTGTCCCGGGGAGGTGCCTAACTGTGTCTTCTCTACGACAGTATTTTCCTGGTGATGGGCTACTGCGAGCAAGACCTAGCCAGCCTTCTTGAGAACATGCAGACACCTTTTTCAGAGGCTCAGGTAGAGGTTGGGCCAGGCTTTAGGTACATCAGCCCTGAGAGGGTGCTGCCACTCCATCCAGAATGTATTGTCCACCAGCATAGACTCCCCAGGCCCTGTGATCCCTGGACCTTGTGCTGGGGAGCACCGGGTGAGCTGGGATTCATGGGCTGTGCGGGGAGCCTGAACTTAACTGGCTGTTGCAGAACGCTCCAGGGGCTTTCCAGACTGGGTTTTGGGCTGGAGCAAACTGACAGGGAAACAGAGGTGGGAGAAAAAGTGCCCCAGACAGCCTGTGAGCTACTGCTGCGAGGACACGGGGACTGATGCACTGCAGAACTGTGCCAGATGTGACAGACTGCAGAGGATGCGGCCCTGCAGTGGCTGTAGGGCACCCACGTGGGTTTAACCTCCGGGGGTTTGCCTGGCTGATGCTGCTCTCGCAGAGATCGGTGCTCCTGTCCTCTGTTTCCAGGTGAAGTGCATCACCCTGCAAGTCCTCAAGGGCCTGCAGTACCTGCATGAAAACTACATCATCCACAGGTGGGAGCCACGGGATGGACATGGTGGGAAAGGGGCTGACGGGAGGAGAAGGGGCTGATGGGAGGGAGCCTGCTGAGCCCTCGGACCACAGCGTCGTTCTTTGCCTCCTGTGTCCTGAGAGTGAGCAGCACCACGTGGAGTAGCTCTGGGTGGGGGTTTGGTGCGAATCGGTGGCTCCATGTGGGAGCGTTGGTGGGGCAGGGAGACCACTGAATGATGACATTAGCTTCTTCCCTGGGATTGCTCAGTGCTGGGGCTCTGCAGCTGCCTGCAAGCCCTGGAGGAGCGCAGGCACGGGAGGAGCCGTGCCTGAATGATGGTGCTGACTGGCCACTCTCTGTTCCCCGGCAGGGATCTGAAGGTGTCCAACCTGCTCATGACTGACAAAGGCTGTGTGAAGATAGGTGAGCCCCCGGCAGCTACCAGTCCCGCTCCCTGCCCACAGCTCTCCCTCCGCTCCATGACATGGTCAGAGCGAGGAGCTTGCCTCTCTCCTGACCTCAGGTCTCTGTT